ATTTGCAAGACCTTATGCCTGCAGTTAAGGTAGCTGGAGACCAGTGGGGGCTAATGTAAAGGCTAGATAAACTAACTTTTAAACTACCTCCACAAAACCGCAAGATACAATTCTTATTTAGGACAGCTTTTTCCCAAGTCATTCCCTGACCCTCAACCTCTCCAGGCTTTATGGGCTTGGCAGGTTCTGCTGTGCTCACCCAAGTGCTACAAAGCTCTTTCGTTCCACTGGTAAGTGTCCAGACAAACCTCACAGTGCCAGTAAGTTTTCTTGCTCCCTGGGCTGGGAAAGCCACTGTGCCAGTGTCCTGGTTCTGCTGCCGCTGTTTCTGTTGCTTCAGTGTTTCTAGAGATACAGCTTTCTCTGTCTTTGGGCCTAGGAGGTTCTCAGTGAAGGGACTCTGGGTTCAACAAATGTGCTTTGTTCCCACCTACTTAGCAATGGTCAAGTCCACTTTAGAATGGCAAAGCTGACCTTGTTAGAGTTCCATATACCTTATTTGCATGTCCTTTCATCTTACTGGGATCCAAAATCAACTGTCAGTCAAGAAATCCAAGACATGTTATATAATAGTAAAGTCTGCTGTCAGGGACCTCTAAAGTTGAGGATGCAACAATGAATGACTAAGAGAAAACCCCCAAAGTAATGAGAAGCAATGATGATATCAGCTTGAAGACTAAGGTGCAACTGATTCAGGCAGTCTTTTTAATCACTTGTTGTGCCTCTGAGAGCTAGACAATGAACAAGGCTGACAGAACAAGAATGGATGTCTTTGAGTTGTGGTATTGGAGACTACTGCTGAATATCCCATGGACTGCCAAAAGAACAAACATATACGTCTTGGAAAAAGTGCGGCCAGTGTGCTCCTTGGAGGCAAGAAAGGTTTGGGCAAGAAAGGGTGTTCATAAGGTTGTTAATCATTTGTTGGCATTTGGAGACTATGGCTCAAAAAGTCATATAAAAGCAACCCACCACACCACAAATAAAATATAGATGAACTTTCCAATCTATAAACAGTGGATCCCCAGTGGCCTCACAATACTGTAAAGATTAAAACTTCTAAAGTACTGGGCAAAATCTGTACCTGCACTGCCCAATAAGGTAGCCACTAGCCATATGTGGTGACAACACACTTGTATTGTGGCTAGTTTGAATTCAGACATGTTGTAGCTGTGAAATACACACCAGGTTTTAAATATTTTACATGAAAAAAGAATGTAAAATATCTCAATCACTTTTATATTAAATGTTCAAATGATTTCAGACATGTGGCATTCCATGATTTAGAATTATACATGAAGCAGCCCGGCTGGCCATTCGAGTCACCAATTCTAATGCCAGAATGCACAGATAAGAAAATGAATAGGAAGCTTGTTTGCACATTTCTTTGTGCTAAATAAACCATAAAAACGGCAAAAAAAAAATTACACATGAAGGCTCACATTATAGGATACCACTATGGTATACGGAATAAATAAAAAATTAACAAAGCATTCAATTTATTAAGATGATGAAACATTACTGAGTTCAAATGAAATGTTCACTACTTATTTCCTTTAAAAAGCAAGGCATCTATGTCAAATGCCTTTGTTTACTTTGTTTAGGAGGAAAAAAGTAAGGCATCTATGAAATATCAGTCTTAAAAAATTTATTAAAATTGTTTACAGGCAATGGATTTGCAATATTTTATTACCTGCCTTTATTTATTTATTTATTTATTTATTTTTTAAGGAAATGGGAATTTGAGGCTAAGGTTAGTCTCATGCTGACTCCTGGAAAACTTTGTTTTCTTCTGCTCTTTTATTTCTCTTATTATTATTACTTTTAATGAAAATTTGCAGAGATTTTGGATTTCTATTCATTCATTGTTACACTTTTCTCCACGCACCCCCCCTTCACTCTTCTATTTGAAAAGTAAAATTCTTTCATTGTTATACAACCCCTCCCTGACCCCCCCTCCCCCAGGTCCATTCCACCATACAGCCTTCGTTGACTCCAGTCAGGACAATACCTAACTGCATATCCCTTTTGAACAGTATTCTCCATCATCTGTTTCAATTTCGAAAAATGTTAAACTGCAAATAATAACAAGAAAATGGCCCTTACCTGTTGGGGTGGGGTCTGGCACAGAAGTGATGAGCCAGAAAAACAAGTCCCTAGAGGTTCTAAATTGAGAGGAGTATTTTAGGAAAGGAGTGTAAGGGCAGTTTCCAAGAGAGAAGCTAGAGAGAAGTCTGGGTTATGGAGCCCCAGTTGGTCTTTGAGCATGTTTAATTACGTACTAAGCTTTTACTATCCATCCGGAATAAAGGAAGGATAATAGTATGTTTCATTTAGTGTATTAGGGATAATCTGCCATACACTAGAACTGAGGAACAGTGAGGAATTTTTGTCCATCTGGACAGAGTATTCAACAGTAACAGAACACACCTAAAATAGTTTCTGCTAGTTTTTATTTGAGAAAATTTACACAAAGATCCCCAAATCTAAACACAAATGAATCTGTATAAATCCCACATGCCTCCTTCAACCTAAAACAGAAAAATAATTTTATGACAATGGATGATATAACCAACTTTACTTAAAAAGTGTCATTCTCCTTTATATTATACAGGCCATCTTGAAAATATGCTCAAAACTGGAAGGAAAGAAACAGCATTCTCACTTTCAAAGCTGACTTATTCTTGCACTGGTCTCTTACTAGAGGCCAATAATTCTTGTGTTTAGATAAAATCAAAGGGCTTTAAAATTAACTTACCAAACCCACAAATGTTGGTATTGTGGCATGAGAAAAGGAATGGACGTGAAAAAATTTCAGTGCCACAAAGCTCAAGTTTAGTCACATTTGGGGGAAAAACCCATTAACAAAATAAAAGTGTTTTCCTCTATTCTCTCTGAAATTTTTGTCACAGCAGACTACAAGCAAGTAACCTTTACTGCTCCTAGAGGAAAGGCACCAGCAGAAGTATCTTGTTAGGTTAATGGTACAGATTAGAATTTCACCTTTAAATGTCAAAGGATAGACTGTAACCCATAGACTTCCTCTTTTTTCTACTTGGCTGTCCCTTCTGTCATTTAATAGATGCAAAACTGCAGTGAGGCTTTCTCCATACTCATGCCCTGTCTCTCTCACTGCCGTGGAGTCAGAACTGACTCATAGCTGATGCTCCTCTGGGTTTCTGAGGTTATAAAAAAAAAGACTGCTCGGCTTGCTCAAACCACCAGAGAGGTGTGGCCTTTGGGTGTCCACAGCACAACACACAGGGGATTAAGCGGCCATAGGAACCCTTGTTGCCCCAAGGCACCAATTCTGGGGCCAGAGTCTCAGAAGCAGTACTTCTCCATTCCTACCAGCAGATGGCGATGCTGCACAAGTTAACATAGAACCATTTTAAGCTACTCAAGAATTTATATAGGGAGTCAAAAGAAAGGAGAGAGAAAGAAAAAAATTGAGTTCACAGTAGCTGGACCATTAAAACTACAGCCTGAGATTTTAGCGTAACTCATTCCTTTTTACTAACCAGGCACCGCCAAAGCAGTGTTCTCTTTTAATGTGCTGCTTAACTGCAAACTTTTTGAAGGCCCTAAATCATGTAATTCTTGCCATAGCAATTAGACAAGCCCTGGAACAGCAGAACCAGAAAGAGATTACAGAAAAAACAAATTTCTGTCCTTATTCCTGGAAAAGTGGGAAAAATTAAAGTTCTATTTTTCATAAATGTTTATTAATATAGTTACTTGTATCTACACTTTCCTGTAACATTTATATTGACCTTTTGCTCCACAGTGATTATTTCATAATAGAACCTTTTGTCTTAATTCTCTAGACATACCAAAAGAAAAGAGATCAAGTCAGAGACTGGTAATGCCCGAGAACCAGCAAATCTTACTGATTTTTCCCTTGGCAGAAGTTGTGTTAAAAATTCAAATGGCCATATTCAACTAAGGACTTTGTATACAGGCTATGTAAGAAATCTTCAAAACTCAAAAATAAAAAGAACAATTAGAAAACAAGCAAAAGACACGAACACACATTTCACTGAAGAGGATATACAGATGGCAAGACGTACATGAATATATGCTCAACAACATTATCCACTAAGGAAATGCAAATGAACACAGATAATTTAGCAGAATGGTTAAAATGAGTATCGTAATAGTACCAAAAGCTGGGGAGGATGTTGGGGAACTAGATTAGCCATACATCACTAGTGGGGATGTAAAATGGTGCAGCCACTTTGGAAAAGAGTAGGGTAGTTTCTTGAAAAAATAAACATATGCTTCTAGATAACGCAGAAATTGCTCCCTTGGGCATGCATCTGGGGGGGAAAAATTATGTCCACAAAATAACCTGAACATGCATGCCATAGCAGCTTTATTCAAAATACCCCCAAACTGAAAACCACCTAGATGTTCTTGGGCAGGAGCATGGTTAAACTGTGGCACACCCATGCTATCAAGTATTGTTCAGCACTAAAAAAAGAACAACTCCTTGGTTCATGCAACAATCTGGATGGGTCTCAAGGGAATTATGCTACATGAAAGACGAAATCTCAAAAGGTTACATACTGTAAAGATTCCATTTATAACATTCTTGAAATGACAAAATTAGAGAGAGACATACACACAGAACAGATTACTGGTTGCCAGACTTGAGAGAAAGGAGGGTGATGACTGTTCTGTATCTTGTGGCTGGTGGTCACATAAATCTACACACAACGGCACAGAACCAAACCTTATGCACGTACACAAAAGTTCAACAGTTGAGCATGAATATTTTAATTCTCTCTAAAACAAAATGAAATTTCAAGAGTCATCTACAGTTCAAAGTTCACGTTTGTGAGCTTTTATATACGTTCGCCCTTTTGAGAGACATAAAGTTGTGAAAACAGTATTTCCAGGCTTAGTTCAGCTCAGGGGCAGAGAACCGTAAAAGCGTATTCAGAGGCAAACCCAGAGGGAACAATCGAAATGAAACAAGTTCAACACGGTCGTACAGCTCTTGAGAAGAGAAGGAAGAGTGGAGGCCCAGGCTGGCGGGCAAGTGGGAAAAAGAAAGAAAACATGGTTCAAATGGACCATGTGAGGAAACCCAGGTAAAAATGCTGGCTTTGGCATTATCTAGGGATCCCCTAGTTTCTTCACAGGTGACCCTAATAATAGACCTACTGTTGCAAAACCAGTCCAAACCCTACCAAATTAAAAGAAGTCTCTCATTGGCTTGTTGGGTCTAGGTGGTACCCCATGTCCCCCCACCCCAAAAGAGATCAGTTCTGGTGAGAAAAGCTCCAGTGTTTCTTGGTGGTGCTGTTGGTAGGGTGCCTCGGGCCAGGCGTGTTTCAGCGATGTTCTGCTGAGTGATACAGGGTGGGAGGGGATGGCGCCCCATTACTCAATCAACTTCTTGGCCTTGAAGAATCGTCGCAGGTAGAAGACCTGCCAGGTGGCTAGTCCGATGAGGCAGAACATCGAAAAGATGCTAAAATACAGGACCCGAGTGTTCGTTGACTCTAAAACAGAACAAAAGCACAGTAAATATAAGGACCTGAGACTCAATAGCTTAAACAATGGGAAGAGGAAAAAGCAGTTAATTAGTGTTACTCTGTCTCTAGACCCAATGGCAGAATTTAAAACTTTTTTTGTCTAAATTTTTTATTTATTTATTCTTTTTATGTGTGTACCATCAAATTGGATCTGACTGGTACAGGAGGCGATTGTTCCTCCTTCTTCAGCAGAGCATCTGGTGGATTTGAACCGCGTACCTCTGGGATTGCAGTGCAGTTTCCTGCCACTAGGCCACCAGAGCTCGCCAAGAATTTAAAACTTTTTAAAAAAAATAAATGTTACATATGAAATGTTAAAATAGACAAAAATTAGTATAAAACTACTATTTTATAATCTATAGTCACTGTACCAAAAGGAATTGGCAGACACAGAAGAATTTCATGAAACAACATATGAGCAAGAGCCTGTGCTGATGGAGGATGTTCAACCTACTCTGAAAGAACTGGCAAAAAGCAAGGCCCCAATAATTAATGGCATACTGACTGACATATTTCAACAAACAGATGCTGCCTTGGGTGTGCTCACCAAGTTGTGCCAAGAAATCTAGAGGACAACCACCTGGCCTAATGATTGGAAAAGATCTATATTTGTTCTCATTCCAAAGAAAGGCGATCCGACAGAGTGTGGAAATTATTGAACAGTATCATTGCTATCACATGCAAGCAAGATTCTGCTGAAGATTATCCAAAAATGACTGGAAGAGCACATCAGCAGAGAACTGCCTGAAGTGCAGGCTGGATTTAGAAGAGGCCGTGGCACTAGGGATATTATAGCTAATGCCAGATAGATCTTGCTGAAAGCAGAGAGTACCAGAGGAATGTCTGTGTTTCATTAACTATGCAAAAGAATTTGACTATGTGGATTACAACAAGCTGTGGCTGACTCTGAGAACAATGGGAATCCCAGAACACTTGATTGTGCTAATGCGAAATCCATACTTGGACCAGGAGGCAGTTGTCAGAACAGAGCAAGGAAACACTGCATGGTTCAAAATTGTTAAGGGTGTGTGTCAAGGATGTGTCTTATCTCCTTATCTTTTCAATCTATATGCAGATTATCTGGGAGGCTGGGCTCTATGAGAAGTGTGGACCGGAAGTAGACTCATCAACAATCTGTGTTATGCAGATGACACAACTCTGCTTGCTGAAACTGAGGAGGACCTGAAGTGCTTGCTGCGGAGGGTCAAGGATAGCAGCCTTCAATATGGATTGAAGCTCAACATCAAGAAAACAAAGATTCTCACCACTGGACTGACTGGCAGCATCATGATAGATGATGAAGAGACTGAGATTGTTGACAGCTTCAGTTTGCTTGGCGCTACAATCAATACTCTTGGTACCATCAGCCAGGAAATTAAAAGACAAATTGTACTGGGAAAGTCTGCTCTCAGAGACCTCTCCAAAATACTGAAGAGCAACAATGTCAGTCTGGAGACTAAGGGGCATCTGATACAGGCCATGATCTTTGCAATTACTTGCTATGCATCAGAGAGCAGGACAATGACTAGGGATGATAGAAGGAGAATTGATGCCTTTGAGCTGTGCTGCTGGAGAAGAGTACTGAACATAACATGGGCTGCTAGGAGAAGAAGTTCGTCCTGCAGAGGGTGAAGCCAGGCTGCTCCTTGGAGACAAGGATTCTGAAGCTCCATCTGACATACTCTGGATATGCTGCAAGGTGGGATCAGTTCTTGGAGAGGGACATCATTCTTGGGAGCGTGGAGGGACGGCGCAGGAGAAGAAGACCCTCAGTGAGATGGGATTATTTTGTCACTGGGGTAATGGGGATAGGTGTGTTGGAGATAATAAGACTGGCAGGGGATAGAACAGGGTTTAGGGCGGGGGTCGCTATGAGTTGTAAGTGACTCCACGGCACATAACAATAACAATAACCACCTGATAACGTTGTTCTGTTAAGTCAGAACTAACTCATAGCTGATGTTCCAGTGGGGCTTCAGAGTCAGTAAATGGCACGGAAGGAGACAGCTCATATTCCTCATGCTGACAGCAGATAATACAGTCAATTGCATACTACAGCAGAAATTTCTATTCCCTTGAAAACCCAATAAAGCTTATTTACCTTTAGCGGCCAACAACACAGAAGCAATTTCCTTTCCACATATCTCCTGACAAAACTGAGAAAAGTGTACAACAGAATGTGAAGCTGCTCCAACTTCAGAAAAAGCAGCTGTCTCCTTTATGGGCCACTCAGCACAAAGGGGAGAGCCCATTCTCCTCACCATTGGTGTCCCGCATCTCCTCCTCTCTTCTCTTCATGTACGCAAAATCATTGACGATGGATTCGGAGAGGTCCTCCAGGCGTCGCAGCTCCACCTCTAAAGGTTTCAGCTTCTCAACCTTTGCAATCTGGAAAAGAAAGGGATTATATGAGCCCCACTTCTAGGGGGGAAAAATTGCTCCAATTAAGAACACAAGCAGCACAGACGTATTATCAAACTTAAAATATCTTCTGCCATCATCCCAATATATTTTATTATTTGGGTTTCTTCCCTTCCTTACATACTATTTGCTTATGTCTTCACCTAAAACTCTTACAAGTGTCAGACATTTATTTTGACTGAACCATCTTTGGATGGATTATAATACGGTAGGTTGTAAAATAAAACCTGTGAAAATTGGACTGGTGTAAGGTGCAAACCTTACAGAAGAAGAAAAACGTGATTATTTTCCTCTAGAATGAGTGACAGAAAAATGGTAAGACTGAATGCTCGCAGGGGCAGAACGTTCATGGGACCCGGCCAGCACGCAACCTCCTGTTTTCACAGGCTTCACTGTATGTTCAGGGGATATATTGTTTCAGTGAAGCACTTGACTCTGTCCTTTCAGCTATGTCTAAGAAAACAAACAACACTGTTAGTATCGTAAATGTGAGAATCAGGCCAAACCAGGTTCAGAAGAAAAGTCACTCATTTGAACATACAAATGAGAAAGTACACATCATTAAAAATATTAAGAAAGTCACTCAGAAGGCAAAATTAGGGAATTCTGGTTGGTTTGCTTAAGTCTCCCACCACTTTCAAGGTTTACAGCATCATTCCAACACCCATGCTTGCTCCAAGCTCCACATCTCACTGTGGCTGGGTGTTGCTGAGTGCATTTCAACTCAGTAACCTCAGGAAACAGAGTACAATGGTCCCATTGGGCACTCTAGGCCCTCATGAAGGGAGCAACTGGGTGGGTTTGAACACTCAACCCCTGGGTCAGCAGTCAATAATTTAATGGATTTGCTACCAGGGCTCTCAGAGA